TTTCATCTTCAACAAGAAATCGTAATCCTGTCTCTTATACACATCTAGATGTGTATAAGAGACAGTTTAAACCTACCGCTAAGCAACGCTGAAGGCTACAGACAGTGCATGGCAACAATACTCGATGAAGCCCATTACATCCGTATACAAACTATATAGATCTACAAAGTCATCAAATAAATTCACAAAAGATTGAAGTTAAGGTTCTGGTGGTAAATTAATTCTTATTGAGTGAAGTCAGGGAACAGTGAAATTACTTAATTGTTCCTGGTAAAATGAAATCCTCACGTAAAATTGTGAAACGAACAAGAAATTACTTCAGATAATCACAATGGGTTCTGAATAAGGCCAAATGCGAGTCACATGTAAGAACGGCACGCCAGCAGCCCATACTAAATGCAATAATATAGAAAAAATTGAAAAAAAGTGAAATTTGAATTAAGTAATACGTTGGTACTCTACTCCTATATGCATTTAACATCTTTCTAGCAAAAGCTATTGCTACTGCGGTCTGGGGCTTAAATGCCACCTTGACTTATAGTTCTATATTGTGAATCTAATTAGCCTCCCCAAAGGAGGGAAGCTCTGGAGGCTAATGTTTTTACTATGTTCTTCTTCATGTTTCAAATCGTTATTGTTTTCGTTGTTGTTGTCGTTGTTATTCTTGTTGTTGATAATTTGTTTCTTACCACGATAACTAAAGTTTAGTAAGTAGTCCGATTGGTTTCAAATTTTACAGAATGCAATATTGCAATAGAGACGAAGCCTATTGTTTTGGCACGTGTGTGAATATGCTAATTGTTCATTTGCATAATTAGTATTTCACTAACCAGGTAATTGATGCTAGTTACCACAAGAACTAAAGTTAGGTAAGCAGAATGCAAGATGGTAATAAGAAGGAGCCTATTGTTTCTGGTACGTGTGTGAATATGCTAATTGCTTATTTGCACAATTAATATTTCACTAATCACTAATTTACGCTAAATCATCATAATTACTATAATAAATTGCTAATTTAGTTGAAATTGTAATATTGAGTTGTCAAGTCACTGTTGTAGTCAATTGTCTGTTTCCACGATAACTATTTTTTTTTATCATATCAGAAAAAAATTCCCAGAGTGGGAAGACTATACTAATACTGGGCAGCGTAAAAGAAGCATATCTAGTTGATAATATTTGTTAACTGCTAAAATAAAATGGCGATAACGGACACCCTTGTTTTAAACTTCTCATTAGTTCGAAGTATTTAGTTACAAAGTCAGCATTTATGCTAATATTTTCTCCATAATACAATGTTTTAATTCATAATTGGCTAAATTATTTACTACAATATGTAAACTGTTTAAGATTAGGGTTAGGACTATGAAATCTCCATGCATCTTTTAATTGAAAGAATTCTCGGTCATCGGCCCCGTGACTCGTCGTTACGCCACTGGTCCACTGGCTTCCACTCTCCCGTGGGACAGCTTTACCGGCTGCCCCGTCGGAAAAATCTATGCGCCAGCACTGATGTGTATCGCTACTTCTTGGATTATATTTATTTGCAACTCGATAATATCTCATTTAGCTTTAATCAATTAATGGATCATTAATAATAGAAGTTTAATAATAATGAGACTGATAAGGAAAGGAATAATGTAACTCTCTCGACAGCTATTTTTTCTACACAGTACAAAAAAGCACTAATTACACCTCTAATCAAAAGCCAACACTTGACTCGGAAATTCTGAAAAAATTATCGACCTGTTTCGAGCTTGACGTTTGTATCCAAAATTTCTGAGAAGGTTGTTGCCTCACAGCTGAATGACCATCTTTTTGAGCACGCATTGCACGAAGTGCTGTCTCCACCATGCTCTAATCAGCTTATAAAAAGGACCATGGAACTGAGACTGCATTACTGCGTGTGCAAACTGATGTATTAACCAGTATCGATAGTGGTTTTGGAGTGTTGCAGGTACTGCTTGATCTCTCGACAGCCTTCGAAACTATTGACCATTGTCTCTTTCTTTTACGATTAGTATTTGTCGGAGTGAAAATGTAGCTCTTGACTGGATCTTTTCTTACCTTGAAAATAGAACACAGGTTTAATTTAGACTTTTAAAAGTTTAAATTACTCCATAAACATCAGTTTGGTTTTAGGAAAAAATTTAGTACTAAACTCTGCTTAATAAATTTAGTAAATAATTTCCAATTTTATCTAGACAATTCAAAATTTATTTTCGGTATTTTTATTTACTTTTCCAAGGCTTTTGATACAATTAATCATGATATATTACTTTCTAAACTAAGTTGTTATAGAAAGAGGTATAGCTTTACGTTGGATTTCTAATTACATAAGCATTAGACTTCAATTTGTATCTTCAAATAATCTTGTTTCTGATAATTTACCTATTAATTATCGTGTCCCTCAGGGATCGGTGCTCGGTTTAATTTTATTTCTAATTTACATTAATGACTTACTAAATTCTACTGACTTTTTGCTGATGATTCCAATTTATTTAAAGCTTTATATGCAAATCTATTAAAACTTAATGAAATTAATACATAGTTTCAAGAAGCAATTGATTTGTGTAATGCCAACAAATTAACAATAAAATACCGATAAAACCAATTTTATTGTTTTCCGTTCAAAAAATAAAAATATAGCTATCCATTGCTCTAACAAAATAAATGAAATTTTATTTTCTGAAACGGATTCAGTTTCTTCTGTTGGTGTTACTTTGGATAAATTTATTTCGTTTAAAGAGCATATTATTATTTTTTTTCCTTGTGTGGTAAAACAACCACTTTTATTCATTTTCATCTTCAACAAGAAATCGTAATCATCATTTCTTTGTCAAACTTAGTCTAAGCTAATTATATATTTGATTTCTTTTTTTTTCTCCCTCTTATTTGCAGTTCCTACCATTTTTATATACCTTTTTTCATTATTTTCGGTGTTTCATCATTTTTGTTCAATCAATCTGACCTTTAAACAATCATAAATCAATCAAAAATTTGATACTTTCAACTTAAATTAGGACATGAAATTTCAACTTTTCGGTTTTTTTTTAATATATAAAATAACACGAGCTTGATATATTTTGATGCTTATCCTTCAATCGATCGATCAATCAATCAATCAATCAATACATCAGTAATGTAAGCAAGCAATCAATAACAAAAATACATCAAACAATCGAACGAAGAATAAATTAACGGAACAGCAAAACAATTATCAATTTCTCCGCCCATCAGCCACTTACAAGTTGAACACAATGATGTTAATAGAAAAATATATCCCATCAGCCATCAAGTCAACACCTACAATTCTCATATGAATAGGTCATTAATTTTTTTAAATTTTATATTTATTATTTAAAGAGCATATTATTGAGTTAAACAACAAATTAAAAAATCGGGTTGGTATCTTGTTTAAACTACGGCGCTGTATCCCTGAGGGCACACTAATAGTGCTTTTATTCAGCCACATCTAACTTACGGCATTGAGGTATGGGGTAATACTCATGAATTTCATTTAAAGCCTGTTTTAGTTACGCAAAATATGTGTGTGAGGTGCATTACATTTTCTGATTTTGGAGCAGCGTTGCTCAAACTTTTTACTTCACGGTCTATTTACGATTCCATACACAAAGTCGCGGCCCAGCAGCCCAACTGCGTCAGGGACCAACATACCAAATCCTGGCAAGAACTTTTGATCATTAAGCCTCCATGTATATGCAATATTTTGACATCATTATCTGTTCTCTCAGTGATAAAATTTCATTGTATACAAATTAAATATTATTTTATTAAATAAATAATGCCGTACATTTGTGTTCCCCAACACCCCCTCCCCTACAATTGTTGATTTTTTTTTCTGCCATGATTTAACCAAGCACGGTTCAGCCACACACGTCACGTCTTTCTCCTTCTTCCAAAAACTTTAACGCACACTCTGTTTCTCCGCAACCTTGAAAGACTACCTTACTATACAGGTATTATGTTTATTAATAAAGTATCCACATGGGCATTCGGTTATCAAGAAATGTGTGGCGTTGTTTAATGTAGTGATCTTTCTAGGACAGGTCTTATATTTATTTTTATCTTTAGCTCATGACTCATCTCTTCATTCCTCCATACCGGATTTACTCGATCTTACAGGGTTAATACTAGACGATAACCTAGTGTCTAGCTCCCGAGGGGGCATAGATACAAAAACTGCTTATAACTCAAATAGCACGCATCATCTGGCACTTTAGCAGCGTGTGCAAGCGACGCATTCGCTGCAACAATGAAGCGGCTTTATTAAAAACTCTTTTCTCCATGATGAAACGTCTCTTTGTTATTTTTTTTTTCAAATTCCAGACGGCTAGCTTCGTGGCCCTCCAAAAATGTTTCGCGGCCCAAATTTGGGCCGCGGACCATAGTTTGCAGAACGTTTAGAGAACATTCAGCACCACTGTTTTATTCACTATTCACTTAAATACCTAAACTTTATAAATTATGTGTCTCTAAATTTATTTATTTTATTTATTTAATAATAGATTACCTCATCTGATTATTTTGAAATTACTGATCATTCATATTGTACACGGTTTAATAATCCCTTTAATGTAGCTATTTTTTCGTGTCATATTAATCTTGGACGGTCAAGAATTACATTCTCTGGTGCTCGTATTTCTAACAGTCTACCTTTGGAAAGACGCCTGAATGCCCTCTCTTAACCATCCAACACACACAACGACCGACACTTACACAAATACAGTTAGACAATTTTTGATTGAAAAGTGTTTATTTTAGGAGGCTTCTATCAAACGCAATGAAACAAACCATGCACATTGACTTTTATTTCACAGCCTATGTAAAACCGATTGTTCGCGCCAAGACAGTTAATGCTGGTGATAGCAAAGTTACATTGGGCGTCAAAAAATTTAACGGAAGTGAAAATAACTTACGATGGGCGAAGGACGGAACTTCAGACAGTAAATGGGACGGTTTGAAGAAGATTATATTCGACACGATCACCGTGTAGCTGATGCTGGGATTTATGAATGTTTTGAATATGGCAGATGGGAAGAACGAAAACACGCTTTTATGCAGCTGATTGTAAGAGGTAGGTTTTATCGTTGGTGCAATTAATAACTTCACACGGCCACTACTTTACAGCATTTTGATTTCCTAGCCAAATGTCTAACTGTTCTTCCCCTCTCTGCAACTCACGACACTCTTTCCGTCTGCCTATGCATTCCCTGTCGCATTTTTTCCCTTGACCCTTATCTTTGTGTCTCTTACATTCTATCTTTTTCTGAGCGAATCCAGAATTAGTCGTTAGGAGTGGGGAGGAAGAGAGGGTTGGGGTGCTTTCATGTAGCTTGTTTCAAACCCACCTCAACACCACCATGGTAGGGTGACGTTCGAGATTTGTGCGAATGCCACATTAGATGCCCGAACATGTCATTTTCATACTTTAAAGATGCTTTCAAAAAGTGTCTTAATTTGCTTATTAATTTCAATTTTCGATTGTTTTGGTTAAATCGGAGGCATGATGTTGGTAGACCTTCAGATTAATGTTGACATTTAGAAGGTGGGGATAGGATAACATTGGTAACCTTATACAATGAATATATCAAGAGACATCCTGTGGTCGGAAACTGAGGTGCGAAATTGCATCTGTACAAATCAGGAAACGATGCAGTCTCAGACTAAATAAAAATGCTACACACACACACACACGCACACACACACACACACACACACACACACACACACACACACACACACACACACACACACACGTCTTTCTCTTCGAGAGGCGAGGGTAATCATCTCTCCTTCTCAGAGAGGCGAGGGTAATCACCTTTTCTTCTAAGAGCTCTTTCGGAGAGGCAAGGGACTCAGAAGAAAGAAGGTGATAGGAAAGGAAGAGAGAGGCGAAGGTAATCACTTCTTCTTCTGGGAGGCGAGGGTGTTACCTCTCTTTCAGAGAGGCCAGGGTAATAACAAAGGAAGAAAAAGGGTGATAGGAAATGAAGGTCTTGGCAAAGTGATGAACGACAATGGAGAGAAATGTCGATATCTGTATGGAAAACGTTTTCATCATTGGAGGATCTATTTCAAAATATAAAGACATATCATGCATAAATAAACATGGTTTTTTAAACTCGGAAAACAAAGAATCAGATTGACCACATCACAATAAATAGAAAATGGAAGACATCCCTCAAGATGTCAAGGCGATAAGAGGTGCTAATGCTCGAGGTGACCATCATATACTGTCAAGCCATTTTAAATTAAAATTACGTAGAACGTCAAACATAAGCAAGAAATTCTCTCAAAACCCAGAGATTGAAGGACCCAGTCACCAGAAACAGCTTTGAAATCCATCTCAAGAATAGTTTTGATATTATAGTTATATATAGTTTTATATATATTATATGTATATACATAGTTATATATACATAGGTATACACATACACACACACATACACACACATACACACACACACACACACATAATAAGGTTTGCATTAACAGACCTGCATCCAACCGTGAAGACACATGAATCCATTATTAATGGGATCACCTATTTTGGAAATATTAAGCCTGCTCTCTCGGTAGAGCGATGAGAAAATAAATTTCTGATTTATTTCCTCTATGTTTAGAGCAATCAATGATAGTCATTTTTTGTGGGGGTGGGGGAGGGAAGGGAAATTTGAAAACTATATCTTTATTAGCATAGGCCTATTTATCATAATGTCCATACATCATCGTATTATAAATTAATTATTAAATTAAGATAAATGAATAACTAAAAAGTAATAACATTGTTTCTAGCAGTAGCTCAATTGATGTTAAATCTAAGCCATTGATAATATGGTTAACAATCGTTATTTCCTCCGCAAAGGAGGACGTGTATTCACCGCTGTCTGCTTGTGAGCAAGATTACACAAAAACTAAGGAATGAAGAATCATAAAAAAATGCATAATGTAGTGAAAGACAAGGTTTTCTTGAAATACTAGAAAATATTTTGTGTCGAGAGGTTACAAAATTTGATAAGTATATTGCTGTAGATTGAAAATCAGGGCCCCTGTGACCATTTTCCGGAGACTAATGTTTCTCTACTGATTTAGCATCACTAGGGTATAAATACAAAATTGAGCGGTGGAGAATCTGCAGTACATAGGCCTAATATAATATGTTAGTGACTGTGACACCATGAGTCGCATATACTTACCCGACTGAGCTTCAACCTGCCAAAAGAGAACGGCGATGAGCAGCTGAGAACTGACCAAAAGTTTCATTTCTGCTAACTAATTTCCAGCAGTAGGCCTACGAAGGGCAATGCACACTGAAATAGCACCTTACAGTTAAATGCTCTTCTGAACAGTTTCAAAAATAACTTGCAAACATTACTATTTATGGATGTTTTCTCCGGTTATTAATGCACAAAGCGCCATGAGCGCCGATTTGGGTGGAGGACACCGGCGCTATAGAAGTTTTCATTTATTATTATTATTACTATTGTTCATGCAAACCGGTCTTTTCAATAACTATTATCTCTACAAGATATGTCTCCCAATGTCACTGAAGCTTTCTATTGATTATCTCACAGATATTTAGTTCCTAATGCTAATTTTGTTTGGGTTTATCGTCCAACAATTATTTATAAAAGGATATGACTAGTATTCATTCAATTCTTGCATTCCATCATGCCAGGGCCCTTACTGATGCGTTTAAATATTCAGGGGTAGTAAGATTTCCGCAAGCTTTTTCTGAACTTGATGTTGCGATTAGAAGTACCGTACCCGCGCGAATAAGTGTCCCGTGTGAATAAGCGCTTTTCTCGAATAAGCGCCCCTCATAACGTGAAAATTTCCTTAAGCGCCCCGTTTGAATAAACGCCCCCTCAATATTCCAATCAATCCTGGGACTGTGGATGTTGGCATGATTTGAAGTGTGGAGTGGAATCACATTCTCCTGTAGTCAACATCAAAATGAGGATATTTATATTGGACAGATGAGAGCTCCATAGACAGACAGTATATTTCCAACTTTCATCTTCTTACATTTGTCTATAGCCTTGTCCTACTCCTTTTCCGATAATGTGCACCTTAAACACATTCTCATCTGAGTTTTCAAGAAAACCTGCAATGATCGTGCCATTCTGCTAATCTCAATCGGCCGAATATGGCCAACAAGCTATACCACCACCACTAATTTCATCTGCTATTCTGCTGTTTGTAGGCCTAATACTGTACTCACAACATTCTTGTCGTGACAAGCCATGCTCTCTGGACGATTACCGGTATCTTTTTCGCCGCACCACCATTCGTAATTTGCGGTTTCCTGATGTCCTTATATAATCGTTTTTCATTCAAAATGTACCTCTTGAATTTAATAAGTTCTCATAAGAACCACTCGATTTTCATCTATGTCCATAAGCGCTCCCTCAATTTCCACTCTGTTTTCATAAGCGCCCCGTTCGAATAAGCCCACCGTTTGAATAAGTGCCCCTCAGAAGTGCAAAAAAATATTTTAAGCGCCAGTGCGCTTATTCGCGCGAGTACGGTAATCTTATTGAAGAGCCATTTATAAGTAACAGAGTTTAAAGAAAAATTTTACTGATGTTTAATATTTTTATATAGGTATTTTTTGGACCAAATTTTTATTTTTTTTGTAAAAATATCGTTTTTTAGACTTTTCTTTATTTTACTTTTTATTGTATTAATGTACGCTATTTATTCTGTTTTTATATTTACGATCAAATATTCCCTCGTTTTGCTATGTAATGACGACTATATTTTGTATTGCTATTCTATTTGACGATTGTACATATGTTTTACCTTTTATTCTCATGATTGTACATTACAATTGATATTATAATGAAGATTTGTGAATACTACATTTTCGTAAATGACAATTGTACATAAATATTTATAATATAATAATTTTAATTTACAGTAATATAAGTATATCATTTTTATTAATGAATTTTTAAATTCTATTTTTGAAGAATGTACACGATTATAACAATTATATATTTTTTATGTATTTATTTTTCCCAATTTATTACTCAGAGATTGGTTTAATTTTCCTTGTATGACGATCCATGCAGGTTTTATTTAGTTAAATTTGTTCCCTTTTATTCTTATTTAAACGGTTTTTTGTTGCGTTGGCTTTGTTAGCAAGGTTTTGGTTATTCAGTTAATTTTTTTTTTTACTTTTGCTTTTCCTCGGCACCCCTGTTCATTCTTTTTTTTTTTTATCGAAAGATTGAAAATAAGCAAAAACGTATAAATAAAATAAACGTCGCAAAGTTCACACTGATGTTGTATACGTAAGCTTTTATTCACAGGTTGGCTTATATAAAGAATGGGTACTTTGTATATCTATTATAAGAGAAACCTGTACTAAATTTTGCCTCCGGTTCATAATAACAAAATCCATCAGAGACAAATCCACTGTTTTTTCCATATGTCATTTCAATCTCCCTTAATTTTGATCGATAACAACTTTGCATCTCTGTCAAAATACGTAGAGAAAAATTAAAATGGATACTTTGAACTATCACCAGTTACATAAAAACTTAGATTACTAGTATCAGACTATTCATTTAGTTTAATTAATCTGTTCTTGGTCCACAGACCTTTAACTTTGGCGTGTATTATTATTGTTTATTCCGAATAAATTATATTTATATACCTAAAGGAAGAAATATTCAAAGGCTTGAATGTAACAAAACACAGTCACTTTATTTGAGCTTGCGCTCTTCTTCAGGAACCACATGAAATTTATTTATTACAGATTCAACATAACGACCTAAAAGGAAATCATGGGCCGAGAGTCCGACACTAACATATTATGTAATACAATATAAAATATCAAAAATAAGTACACCATTAAATATCACTGTCAAAAAAAAAAGGAAAAAAAGTTCATCTTATATCGTTTTAGTCGTTAAAACAGGCTGTTATTAATTTTTTAAAACATTTTTTATATTCATATATAAGCTGTTACGAAGAGAGATCTTG